ACTTTGAAAATTATTTATTACCACTAATATTGTGCTTTGTAAACTCATACAGTGCTTTATGAAGTAAGACATGTTTCCTATTTTAAAGATCTTATAATCTTGTGGGTTGATAAGGGGTGCAGATTATCCCTTGGATGTTCATAAATAGCATTAGCACTAAGAGTTTTATTAGCACTGGGTCCTTTCAAGCCTGTGGCTCTTTCTTAACAACACTTTCCTGGTCAAGTGCTGAAATAAGGATTTTGACACCTTGATCTTCCAGGCTGCAACAGTGTGGGCATTCTTTTGTTCTGCTTGTAGCGAAAGAGCAAAACCCAAGCAGAGTCCCAGTGCAGCGACTGTTGCTCTGCATGGGTTTAATCCACCGCCTTTGCTTGGCTCTCTCCCTGAGACTACAAATCTGGAGTCTGGGTGATGGCAGCAGAGAGCGAGTCTGGGAGGTTTGTGTGTGTGCGCGCTCGCGCGCGTGTTTTAAATAAACAAACAATGGAACAGCAATTTCAACAAATTGTGAGTGGCACTAATTTGTTATAGTGCTGTCTTGCCTTCTGGCAGTGTTGATTTAGGAGAAGCTGAGCAGACTGGAACGGATGCGGGGAGCCACTGGTTCTTTTGCTCTGGGGTGTGTATATGGTTCAGTATAAAATGCTTCTAGGGGTTCTGTCCTGAGGAGCTTTCAGATTACAGGGTAAGCACATGCATAGGCTGCCAATCTCCTTTTCAAAACCAAATCTTGGGCAAAAGTACCTTCCCCTTTGCCTTGCTCTACCCCTTCCACTTTTTTTTAATGGAGAGACGTTTTAAGTCTCAATTCATGACAAAAGCATACAATTTGTGTGTTTTGAGGACTGCCAGAAGATCCTTGACCTTGACACAGTATGTAGGGAAGAAAAGGAGGAAGATCCTTTGCTTTGGATTGTAGCAGAGTTTTCAACACCCCATGATGTTGCTGGGCTGCCTTTCATAACATGCCTGGGGCTGTAATCCCTAAAGCTGAGAAACTGTCAGAGAGGCTGGCCAAATGCGCAGGAGATACCTGCAGCCCTGGACCGCTGTTGTGCAGTGCTGCAGGATAAGGATGGCAGGATGGGAGCCTTGCTGGGAAGAGGCGGACTTTGGAAGCATATGTAGAGGGACCTCCTTGCAGCCCGTGAGCTGAGTTAAAAGAAAGTCTGAAGTCTCAAGTGAAGAAGATGGGAATAAAACAGTCAAACCGAGAAGTAGTGGTTGCAGAGAAGGAGCCAAGGAAACGAAGAATTTTGAAAATGAGTAAACCCTGCTTTCCCCTTAGGTTATCTTCAGCTTGGATAGATTTGGATGTCATGCAGACAGTTTGCAAAACTTTGAGTCTGTTAGGCCTTCTGCTTTTACAAGCAATAGTGGCTTTCTGGCATCCTCTTATTTGCCAGGATCAGAGTTGCAGAAACACTTTTTAGTGGTTGCAAAGAACCGAATCTATGAGGGTTCAGGGTGATCAGTTAAGCAGCTGCTTTGGAGGGGTATTTGGCAGGCAGTACAGTCTTGATACTGCCAGGACCTACTCTTAAACAGTGGTTTGCTTGAAAGACTTCACCGAAGCACAGCTTAAGAGACGAAGATTTCTCTGAGAAATACAGGGCTGAGTACATGGTCAGTTCTTGGGGGGGAGAAAAAAAAAGAAAAAAAGGTGGATGAAGTGCAAAAGGTGCTGTATTTAAGGCACCATTTATTTACGTTAAGGAGAACTGTTGCTGCTGCATCTGTAGGTACGGATGAGATAAGTGAATGAGGTTTGGTCTTGTAGAAGAAAATGAGACAGCAAAGTTTGTTTCTGCGCTCACTGGTATCTGGCCTGTGGTGAGAGAGATGACATTTTGGTCCAAGGTCATCACTACCCGTGTCCTTCCTGCATCCCTGAGCATAGAGCTCAGAGTTAGCTACTGCAACAAGTTCATGATATTAGCAGTATTCTGTATGCAGATGCTCCCATGCTGACTGCTTCTCTCTGCAGAAAAGTTTGCTGAGTCCACACAAGAAATAAAAATAAGCCAGCCAACTGGGAGGATCTTTATCAAACACTCTCCCATTTCTTCCAGTACTCTGAGGCCTTGTTTGCTCAAACAAACCCTGTAACTAAGGGGTCTGAGTCACAGTCACTAGTGGATTTAACACGCCCAGCTGTCTGCCTCATCCCTGTCCTGGCGATCCCACCAGTTGCAGGACAGTTGAAAGGGCCATGGGTTTGCTCCAGTATTGCTGCATTTCACAACCCCGCTATCAGCTTGTACCTGGGGTGACTCAGAGCCTTGAAGCAGTGCTGCAACTGGGAGGGTGCTGCAAGACAGTCTTGGTTGGAAAAGGGTCACAACGTTCCTTCTTCTCCACTGTGCTGTGTGCTCTTGCCCCCAGAACAATGCTCAGCGTGAAGCTGCCACCCTGTGCAACCCCTGCCAACTGTGGCCTACCATACCGAAGGACAGGGCCCGAGCTGTTAGGAGCAGAAGCGTCTTCTCACTCCATGTAATTCATAAGGTTGTTGATGCTGCCTAACACTCTCTAGGATTAGCTGGGAGGTAGTAAAAATCTTTAGTCACGTCCTAAATTCTTGCATTGTAAAGGGAGAATTCTGTACATCAAGGCTCAAAGGTGGCTGGGAAACAGAGGAATTTTGCATACCAAAAGGGCCTTAAGTGGTGGATGGGTAGAGGGTATCCTTCCTCTTGTGTGGGCTGAGCTACTCCACTGAGTTATGTGGGTACTTAGTGCAATAAGGAGTCGTTAGATTAGCTGGGACATCAGAGCTGAAGGTACAGTTGGAACTGAGCTTGCTCGGTTGTTGCAGGGCTGCAGAAGAGCCCAACATCTATTGCTGCTCACTCGCTTCTGAGGCTTTATTTGTTTGTGTCACTGCTGTGCTCCTGAGATCAACTGTGCTCTGCAGATATGCAGGAATTTTTAGTGCCTGGCTCTGCTTGACAAGATCTGCAAAGTCCATGCTTCCCCTCTTCTCCTCCCACTAGACGGTTTGAGTAGTCTTGGGCTCCTTCATGTCAGCAGTGAAAATAAACGTATAATATACAAGGGCTCTGTTTATAAATTGGCAGGAAGCTTCATTTCTGACTGCAGTGTGATGTTCTAACAGTAGGAAACATCTTTGTTTTAAGCAGTTCTCTGCCAATCTCTGCCCTAGAGGGGAAATGCAACTATGGAGAAGAGCGTATCACAGTAGCAAGAAGCAAATTGCTGTAATTTGGATGTAAATCTGCATTTTAGCCACTGTCCAAGAAATACCTTTATTCAGCCTTCAGCCTTTAGCCTTTCTTTAGCTGAGTATTGCTGGTTTTGCTGAGTGTTCTGCAGAGTCCTGACGCTGGCAGATGCTACCAGTAGTATGTTGCTCATATGGAGTCTAGAGCGTGTGAACTCTTGGAGAGGAGGGAGCTCAAAATCCCCGGGGCCCTGGCCCACTATGCTTAAAGTTGCACGCTATTTAAATGTGGGTTGTTCATGCTGGCAGTGGTCCGTTCAGACTAGTTCAGCAAATGCTCTTGGCTCAGCGTAGCCCAGGTCAGTAAGCAAACACTTGCTTACATTTCACTTCTTCATTGTATTGACAAGATTTAAAAATCTTCAGTCTGTAGCAGTCAAAACAGGCCGATCTGAATACAAAAGACCTATTAGTTCAGTGGGAAAGGGATTTAGTTACAGAATTGTGGGGATAAGAATGCAGGTGGGAATGATGGGAACACTGTCCTGGGCCTGAGCCCAGCAGATGTCCTGGAAGAATGAAGAACTATCTCCTTACATTCAGTGTCCTTTTCACGAAGACGCTTTCTGTTTCCTAGGCCAGTGTCCTTTACGTTCTCTCTCATCCAACTACATTAATTATTGTAAGTCTTTTTATTTGGCCTTTTAAGGTTGAAATAATAATCAATATTTTCCTAACTTTTTTAATGTAACATTTCTATCTCCAGCAGCTCAGCTGGAGACATGCAGCCAGCAATGTGACAAGAGCTGTGCAGAAGTTTCACTTCGCCATGAGGGTCTAAAAACCTATTTTAAATCCCTGCGAGGCTGCGGGCTTATTTCTGTCCTGCTTTTTTGGTGTTTTGTTTTGTTTTTTTTTCACTGGGGCAGCATCACCACTTGTAGAGAGGGACCTGTGCTTGGCATCTACCCTAAAACTATCTTCCTTAATAATCCTGCTGGAGCTGATCACAGGAACTCTGGGGGAAGGAGGATATGCACTGCAGAGGGTATCCTAGGCTGAATGTATCTGTGGGATATGCCTTTCCCTGACATGGAAAAGATGTCGTTGCTTTTTCCTTTGGGCAGCGAAGGGTGGAATTGTAGATCTCAAGTTTTGCGAACCTCGTACGAGCTGCAGTTCACCATGAATTAACTTGAGCTCCAGTCTCCAAGAACGTAGATTAAATTATTAATGACACATCATTATAAATAGGAGAGGGTATACAGTATTTTCTTTTCCCATGTTGCACCGCAGATGTAACAAAAGCCAAAGGGACCCAGCCTGGCTCAATGCTATAACATCTCTAGAAGAGCAGGATTTCAAAGGCTTGGGAAGGGGGACAGGGAAATGGGGACAACACAGAAGATCAGCATTTAAGTGTTTCTTCCATTGCCTGTACTGTGTGGGGAGCGAGACCGTGAAGCTCTGGCATCAGGCTTTTCTCATAATAGAGGCATTTCTAAATCGTGATATTTAGTTGCCTGAATTTCTGAGCAGAAGGAAGCTGGTGCAGACATCCTGGGATCTGTTGTTCTTGGATATATGTGGACTGGTCCTCCTGAAGCTCAGTGCCGTTGGGAGTCCTGAATGGAGGTGGCCAGAGTCATCAAGAAACTTGCAGAGGCCCTCTGCTCAGTTTCCGTCGCAGTTCAGCAGTTCTGGGGAGATGGGTGGAGGGGAGGTTGTTCTAGTAGTTACATATTTAAGGCAGGTGGCCGTTTTAAAATGTACGTTTCAATTTTGATTGCAGTTTTTTAATTGCATTTAACAGCGTCCCTGCTGGTTCTCCATTCTGCATCCGTGCAGCCACGTTCTATTGATGGCCTGTTGTGATTTCAATGGAACATCATGGGATGTACCTGGCACGCCGGGCAGCACTGGATGGAGGTGCCTTTAGCCCAATGTACCTGGCATGGTAAGCGGCAACCAAGTGGTTAATCTGCATTCTACTGCTCGTAGTCTCAGCTTGTATAGCAAGGTGTTCCTGCTTTGCTGCAGCCTTGCACTGACTGGAAATCACTTCGCTCTCCTGATGTTAGTGCTTTCACGCACGCAGGGCCCCCACCCTTTTCACCCATGGAGATTCCCCTTTCCCTGGGCAGTTTGCCATGCAGCAGAGAAGGGCCTAGCCACATCAGGCTCTCCTTGTTATTCTAGAAGAGGAAAGAGAAGGGACTGGGAAATCATCTGACTCTTTTTCTTCTCTCCTTTTTGGGCCAGGAGCTGGTAGCAGTTGAGCATGTATTGCCCACGTACCTAATGCCCAAACGTTGCCGCACAGAGGTAGCAAACAGGTGCTTGTGTCCATAAGCAAGGCTAAACTGTTTCTGCGGGAGTCCTGCAAGAGCTGCTTCAGGGAGCCGAGAGGGCAGCTCTGCCTGGCACTAATTGGAATGTAACAAACTAAACAAAGGCCAGTTTAAGTTTGCTGATGTGGTACCCTCCGCGAAATGATCCTCCATTCTCCTTCTCCTTTCCATGTCCTTGCCTGCAACATCAGCTGCACGTTCTGCTCTGTCCTGCATGTCGCTTTCTCTCCCTTCCCCAGCTCTGCAGACCTCTCCCCTAAGTAAATGGACATATTGGTCTTACCTATTTTGAAGTGAGAGATATTCTTGTGAGAAAAACAAGGGTGCTGCATCCTGTTTTCTGTTTGAGCCCACCTCACAGAGCTTTTGCTGCTCCACTGTCCATGATGAAAATGCATGTTTTTGCCTCTGCTTCTGAGTTCTACTGCCTGCCTGCTCACAGGGGCTGGAGAGAGGGAACCATTTGGGCTAACACAGCTCCTGCATTCCTCCCTATGCCTCTGCTGCTCCGGAATGTAAATACTGTTACAAGGCATGGGCTAATGACCTGCCAGTTGCAGCTCCTGGGAGGAAGGTTAGTGGGAAAGCCCACTTCACCGATACCTCGGGAGAGTTCTGGAAATAGGTTCTGTTGGGATGTGGGGAGAGGAAGATCAGATGAGCCAGTAACCAACAGGAAAGCTCTCTTCCTAGCGGGGTCTTCCAAGTGCTCTAAAAAAGATAGTTCATCTGAAACTGCAGAGTGCAGAAGTCATCTGTTTCAGTTTCACCCAGATCCAGTAGCAGCTGGACACAGCATTTTTAATATCAGAAGTAAATTGGTGGGAAGAGCAATGTAGCAATTGATTTAATTTTGTCTTGTTCTTCCCCATGCTCACTGCTGCAGTGTCTGCTCCGTGCAGCACAACTGCTTGGGAAAGTAGAGAAGTAAGTAAACAGGCCATGATCTTCTCCTGGGTTTATCACAACATGCACAGCAGGCTAACGCTTTCACAGCATCTAATTTGATACATCACATCTAATCTGTTTGTTGGTTTTTATCTGCAGTACTGTTAGTTCACTGTTCAGGTGCTCAGTGTCTAGCCTTCTCATCCATCCACAAATCCTCTACGTGAAATGAGTGATTCCATAGATCTGCTTTTGATTGATTCTTTGCTTCACTGGTGTTGCTTCTTAAAAGGTAAACAATATTCATGTGCTGCAATCTATAACTCAGAGATGTAATCAAAGAGCATCTCCTGCCAGAGGTAGCTAAGATAACACATTTAGCATTCATTCAGCAATTACTTTTAGAAAGAGATTTAGTGATATTAAAGATAATCAAATCTGTAGTGAATATGTAGATTTTATATTATTTAAAGGGGTGAAGGGATTCCTCTTCGCCTGTATACTTTGGCAATCTAATTTTCTGTGATGTCCCGAGTCTTTGGGGAAATTGAGAGAAAATTAAGTTTTTCCTGCTTTGTAGTGAGAGCAGCACAGCTCCTGGAGCAGTCTGTGTGTTCTGCACAATCTTCATGCCCACGGGATCACAGCATGCCCCAGGCTGGGCACAGCAGCTTGCAGTTACCCAGCTCCATGGGCAATATTGCTTATGAAGACGCTATCGGCTCTTAGCTTGCAAAGCTTTGTTTGATGTGTGCCATCTGCTTGCAGCATTACTGTATTCTGTGATTTGTGCCCTGTATTTTTCATGTCTTTGCATGTGCTGTGTCTCAGTGTTTTGGATGTGGTGGAGGTAGTGGAAAGCCTCAGTCTTGCTTCATTCCCTACTTGAACAAGAATATTTGAGCAGGTTCTTCACCCTGAAAACTATGTGTCTTGAATGTCTAGGAAGCAACCTGAATCTGAAAAAAGACCATTTCTACTGCTATTTGTCCAAAGTCTTCTGTGATCCTGTTTTAAATGCAAAGGAGTGAAGTTTTGCACACTAAATTCAATGATAAAAGACTGTGGCCCCAGTGAGACATCTACGTATCCTTGAGGTCTGGGCTTTGGTTTTTTTTACTAGAAATGCATCTGAGCCTTTCCTGAGCCAGGGCTCCTCTGAACTGAGAGTATGTTTTTTCTATCTTTTTGTAGGAAACAGAGAAGGAAGGGTTCTTAACAGTGATATTGAGATACAAGAAATACAAACCACTGTGATTTTTCAGGGCTTTTTCGGGCTTTTGTTGTCGTTACTGGTGGTGGTGATGTTATCCAAATGTTCAGGGTTTGTTAAGAGCCAGTCTCTGCAAACTATTGGATAGCAAGGCCTTTGTAAGGCTGCACCTGCCATTTGTTTGGGAAGATCTGCTAACTTTTATACTGGATTTAACCTCATAGTTGTCTTTGGTCCCATGCTTTCAGCTACAAGTGAGATTTTAGGAATGCCATAGATTAAGCAATAATGCCTGCTTCTCTTTCACTAACAAGTTTTCCAACACACCCCTCTTCCCTCACCTCTGAAATGCATCATTGCTAAAGAAGGGTTTGTAACTGGTCAGCTCTGGGAAATACCTGGAATGGATTTATTTTTGTTCAGGACTGCACAAGATACACAAGCCAGGTTGATGCTATAAAGCTTTTGTCAACAAAGGTACGTCAGTCAAAGGTGTGTCCTCTGACCCATGTTGCTGTCCTGGTGAAAGCCCTTGGTGACCAATTCTGGCAAAATTTTAAACGTGGGGCTCTAAACTTGGCTGAAGGTTTTGCTGCCTTGTTCCGTTACATTAGTTTTGTTGAGGTTGCTAAATCCATGTTAGACTTCAGCTAACAAATTCAAATTTGATAGGCAGTGTTACAGTGCTTAGACCTGACCGCTGCTTTTAAAATCTGCTAAAGGTAATAACCTACCTCATACTTTTGTCCTATTGAACATGAACACTTCTGTAAAATCTGACATGTGAGACAAATAGAGGTAATTTAAACAACTTGTACTATGCTAATTTTTATGCTGCAGAACACACTGAGGTTTAATAATAACATTATCTTCCTCATAAAGGTCAGTAAAAAGCAGAACTATAATTCTACCCCTGCTTCCAGGGCTTTCCCTGCAGGCTTATTACCTGGTTTCAATATCATTTAAGGCAGAAAGAAAAAAACAGAAGTAAAAATCTAAAAATATTTCCCATTAGTAGCTGCAACAAGCCTTGACTCTTTGCAAAGGCTTAGACAAACACGCATATGGAGATTTCTGGACCTCTGCTTCAAGTGCCACATCAATGAGAAATAAGCTCTTGTTTACTTTAGTAACATAGTTCCTTTTTTTAATTAGTCTGTTTAGGCAAAAAATATTGGCTGTGCTGTTTCCTTTCCTTTCCCATATATGTCCTTTATGACACACTTAAAAATCATATCTAGGGATTTTGTGTGCTATATGCATGGAAAAGCACCATTACGTTTGTAGTGGAAATAGTGCAGTAGTGCTGCCCCTTGCTCTTCTTGAGCAGGATGCATTTATAGACGCTGTGTTACGTTGCAAGCCGTGTTTTTGTCCTTCCCTATCAATGTATCTCAGTGACGCAGAAGTAAGTGTTTTTACTGGCCTGGCCAGATAAAAGTGGGTATTTGGTGCCTCTGTGCTGTTGCTTCTTCCTCTTAATCAGCAATTCTGGAAGCAAGACACCAGAACCAGACACATTGCCTGCATGCTGCAACTCCGATGTAACTAATTACAATAAAACTTGTTTTAAAGTGCTCAGCACTGTTCAGTGGTAGTAATCCCTGTCTCTGTCACAATTTCGTGATGCTGCAGGGTGCGTTTCTGTGACATAAACACTATATATGGAGAAGAAATAACTGTCTAGCACCATGGCAAGCCTGTATGTCCTCCTTTTTGCTGCCAGCCTTTCTACAGCCAGCTGCCTCTGGGAACAACAGTCATGTGCACAGAGGCATGGTGGTGAATCCATCGTCCTCTTGGGTTCCCATCCATTGCGGAAACAATATAGAGCAGAAAAGCAGAGCAGCCCTTTTAGCTGCGGGCCAAGGTAACGAGCCACTGGGATCTGTGTGGATGCTGAATTAGGTGCTGGTGCACGGAACAGGGGCCACAGAATTCTACCAGCTGAGTAACCGAGTACCAGGCTGACCAGCTGACCAAGTGAAGAAACGTATCCTGTGGAAGAAGGGAGGCATCTGCTTGGCAGATCTGTAGGTAAAAGTATAAATACCAGGCTAGTAAGGCAGCAACATTGGAGCACCTTTCTGCCAAACTAAAATTTATCACCAGTTAGTGAGAGCCAGGTTTGAGAGAGGTTATTTTTAACAGTGACAGTATCACTCCTTCTTTCTTTTTCGTGTGTACACATACTTGACACAGAGGGAAGATAATGCAGTCTAGTGTTTCATCTTTTGAAATCTGATGGGACTGAATGTGGTAATGGGACCCACAAGCAATAAAAACATTAACTGATGATGATTTTAAGAGAAAATTTAAGCTCTTCATTTCTATGGACTTATGGCCTGCTCCTCCTTCAGTAAGAGAAATCTGTTTCAATCATATGATGAACTGGGAAAGGAAGGAAGTGGAAGGCTAAAGGTGGCTGTTGTATGTTTGGTATTTAATTCCTCCCTTTGAACCTCAAACTATTTTAAATCACCTTTAACAGATAAATGCTATTACAAGTAGTAGTTGACACTTTGAAACAAAAAACTTAAGAAAAAAAGTAAAAAATTGATCTTGGATTCCTGAATGCAGCCACAGATTTAAATTCTAGTTTTTATGTATTGTAGTATCTACCAAACATGCAATTACAATTAGTTCTGATATGCCTTAAACTAGATTTCATACAGTGCACGCTACTGGGAAGGCCAATATAAATATCTAAGCTAAAATATATAGTGAATACTGTTTGTGAAGTACATGAACTACACAGAGGTAACCACAATTTTCCTCTCTCCCCAGTACTTCAGGGTAGAGAGACTGTGACTTGAGATAGGTTACTCGACTCTCAGTTTAAACAAAATTGCTTCAAAACTAAAGGCAGGGCAGAATTAACTGAAGAAAACAGTTTCAGATTGTTGAAGACATTTGGTGGCATTTAGCTAGCTCAGCATCCTGAATTTCAGCCAGTTCAGGGTTGATTCTAGCCCTTCATGTCAATGGATTGGGATACGGACATTGCCGGGGGGTGGTTTTTAAAGCAGCCTTTCATACTCTTAAGGAGATTTCCCATTCACACCTCAGTGTCATTAATTCCGTCTTCAATGGATTTAGTTGCTACATGTCATTTTCTCAACCCCAGAGCAGCTGGGTGTTGTAAGATTTCAACATGTAAGAGCCGAGAAAAAAACTACATGTTAAAGCAGGGAAGGTGCAGCTTATGCTAGTTATTTTAGATGCTCAGATATGCAAATGGTAGAAGTAGATGCTTCTTTTTTCTTCCTTTTTTTCTTGCTGCTCATCCTCCCTTCAGATTTGTGTGGGGAGAGGGAAACAGCTTTCTCCTGTACCTAACTATTGTTTTCCTGCTGGTATCTTTTGAACAGTAATTCTAGCCAATGACAACTGCCTTTGTAAAAAGATATTTACAAATCTGATTTTTGAAAGACTTGAATCAAATCTTAGCCTGAGAAATACTTCTCTCTGTATTCCAAGCAGGATCACAGCTTGCAGAGCTGAACGTACCCAGAGCTCTTTGGTTGGTGTCAAGCCTAACACAGACTGCACCATGTTAAGCCTGACTGTTAAATGTAGACTTGTTCAAATGGAAACAGCAGATTCACACCTCTCATCTTCCTGTTTTGCAGGTGGTAAGGTGAAGGTGAAAGGAAGAGAAGGTGGAGATGGAACTGCCAAATCATGCCAAACAACTGCTACTGCAGCTGAACCAGCAACGAGCCAAAGGTTTCCTCTGTGATGTGATCATTGTGGTAGAAAATGCCCTGTTTCGTGCCCATAAGAACATCCTGGCAGCCAGCAGCATGTATTTCAAATCCCTTGTCCTGCATGACAACCTGATTAACTTAGACACGGACATGGTGAACCCCACCGTGTTCCGGCAGATCTTGGACTTTATTTATACTGGTAAGCTCTTAACGACTGACCAGCCCGGTGAACAGAACTTTAATGCTCTCCTCACCGCAGCAAGCTACCTCCAACTGCACGACCTGGCAGCTCTCTGCAGAAAGAAGCTGAAGCGGAACAGCAAGTCCTTCGCTGGCAAGGCCGGTGGCCTTGGTCTCGGGAGATCTGCCAGGAGTCAGAGACTTTCCACTGCTTCGGTCATCCAAGCTCGCTATTCAGGGTCAAATGAGGGGTTGAAGGGCTCGCACTCAAAGGACCTGTCAAAGGGAAGGCTCTCCGATGACGAGGTCTTCATCAGCAGTTCCAACCAAGAGAACTGTCACTCCTTAAGCAGGGGAGCCAGTAAGAACGGTGGTGGGGGCAGCAGTGCGAATGGAAGCACCGGCGACCAGGAGCTAGGCCTCGATCTGTCCAAAAAAAGCCCGTCGCTCCCTGTTGCGGCCTCCCACGATGACACGCAGCACAGCGAAAGCCAGCACGGCTCTCCCCAATCTGCCTCAGCCCCTGCAGCCAACAGTGCCTCATCGTTCGACGAGTCTGGAGTCGGAGCCCCTCACAGCATGGCGGACAGCAGCGACCCCATGGAGATGGATCTGGGTGAAGAGTGCCACCACTCATTGACGGAGAGCAGCCAGCGCAAGGGCCTCCGGCACTCGTCCCGCAAGAAGGAGTGGATCAAGAAAGACAACGCCTTTGACCAAAAGGAGGGGAGCAAAGACAGGGACGAGGGCGAAGGGCTGCCCAACGGTATCCTGCTGGGGCCCTTGTCCAAGTCCATGGAGCGGAGTCTGGCCGGGGCCTACGGCGCAGACCTACCCTACCCATGCAAGGAGGAGGTGGAAAATGGTAAGGAGAACAGTGACGACAGCTGCCAGAGCGAGAGCGAGAGCGGCGGGCATACTAGTGCCAACTATGTCTACCGGCAGGAGGGGTTTGAGCCAGTGGCCTACGGTGACAACCTGTATGTTTGTATCCCCTGTGGCAAAGGCTTTCCCAGCTCCGAGCAGCTCAATGCCCACGTGGAGACGCACACCGAGGAAGACCTTTACATCAAGGAGGAAGGGACGTATGGCGGCAAGGATGAAGCCGAGGATTTGTCCAACCCCAACCAGTCCTATGCCGCGGAGTCCCGACCCTTCAAGTGTTCAGTGTGTGAGAAGAGCTACAAGGATCCAGCCACGCTGCGGCAGCATGAGAAGACTCACTGGCTGACACGGCCCTTTCCTTGCAACATCTGCGGCAAGATGTTCACGCAGCGGGGCACCATGACACGGCACATGCGCAGCCACTTAGGGCTCAAGCCCTTTGCTTGTGAGGAATGCGGGATGCGCTTTACCCGGCAGTACCGACTGACAGAGCATATGCGTGTCCACTCAGGAGAAAAACCTTACGAATGTCAACTGTGTGGTGGGAAATTCACCCAGCAGCGCAATCTGATCAGCCACCTGCGAATGCATACCTCTCCCACATAAGCCAAAGACTCCAGAATGAGCTTCGAGCCCATCCGCAGTGATTTACCTTTCTGTAGACTTGCTGCTTAAAAAAAAAAAAGAAAAAAGAAAAAAAAAAACAAACAAAAAAGGGGGCAACTCCCCATACTCTGTTCAGTCATAGGAGGCCTAAACAAATGTAGCTTTAACATTTAAAAAAAAAGTTCCTTTTTTCCCTTTTTTTAAAAAAAGAAAGGTCCACAGCCAAGCTGATGCAGTTAGTCCAACCCTCTCTCCAAATCTTGGTGATCTGGCAAGAAATGCCACTTCTTTTTGTGCACATCGACTTCATTGCTATATTGATTATCTGGAGCAGGTAGGGGGACCGTGGGGAACTTACAGTCTCTGCTGGCTCCCGCTCCCTGCCTCTTTCCTTCATGTTACTGTCACCCTACTCACCTCTCTTAGAACCAAACTCAGTAGGGGCATTTCTTGCCATTAAAAAGAAAATAAAGTACACCTTTTCTGTGGCCTAAGTAGCTGTGAAATAACATAGCATCGCATTCGCAAGCGCGGAAGCTGTGTCTGTGGACCATCTCACAGGGCTGGCAGCCCCTTCAGATACTGTGGGAAAGCCATAGCAGTGGAGGAACCCACCACCCTTCCCCTGGGCTGGCGATGGCGGGGAGAGGAGTCTGCCTGGGTGTGCACCAGCCCGAGTGCTTCGCTTAAAGAAATGGCAATGCCTCCCTCACCATCCCTCCCTCGTTTGGTTTTGATCTTTATCCTTGGCACATGTAACCACATGCCACCTTTTCCCACAAAACACACAAACCTCTTCTGCCTTACCCATGACTGAACAGGGACTGGATGCCCTGGGAATTTCTTTCAGTGAGCAGGGGGTCGTCTTTACTTTTCTAGTAGTTTCGTATGAATATTCTTTGCTTAGAGGTACTTGTTTTATTAAAGGAAAAACCATTGTAACGTTTATGTGAATGTTTGAACTGGAAGGTCTGAGGTTAATTCTAGG